TGGCGTATCTGATATTATTTAATAGAATAATAGAATAATATTATATAAAATGAACAAAAGGTCAATATTATAAATGAAAATAAATACCAATAACAGAATTATCTTCAAGTTTATATACAGGAGAAACATTTTCTGACTTGGAGGTATTTTCTAATATTAGAGGATACTCTGTTGAACAGTCCTAAAACAAAATGTATGAATATTAGAATATAAATTTTAAATTTGTATTTCATTTTAAACAATTTATGTACTTGATCTTTTGATTCCCGAGCCCATTTCTTACAATGAGCTTTTTCTTTTTTTTCAAGAGCTAATTGTTCAGCTTCTTCAAGAGTAAGATATGGACTCTCCTCTTCACCAATTTCTTCCAAAGGAATTAATTCATTACCTTTCAAAAATAATAATAATTAGTAATTCAATTTTATTCTTAGACATAATACACTTACTTTTATTACAATTTTTAGAATAATGCCCAATGTCGCCACATTTAAAACATTTTAATAATGTTRTTCGATCGGTAGCTGAAAAATCTCCACCTAGTTCTTTCTTTCTATTTTTCCACTGCTTTTTTTTGTAAGTAGTAGTTTTAACCGATCTTTTGCCACGACTATAAATTTTTCTTTTCATATCTAATTTTACAAAGTTTTCGTTAGCCTTACCGCTAGATATTTTTGATTCCAACATAACTTTTTTTCGACTATCTTTAGTAGATAACTGAACACTATCGTGATCATGAGTTTTTAATACTTTTGACTGCATTGAACATTCTTCCGATTCTTCATCAGAATTATAACGTTTTTTTGAGCTTCTTGTAATTTCATTATACTCTACATTAGTTTCCTGATTACTAGTAATCTGACTACTATTCCTGATACTATTTTGACTATCACTAAATTCTTGAGCTTTAATTCTTTGAGATGAATATAGTGGAATATCTTGTGTTTCATTATCACTTTCATAGACAACATCTGTATCACTTTCAATTTCWTTTGTTTGTTTTAAATCGGGCTCAATAATGTTTGAATTGGTTATTTTCRAAATATTTTCATTACATCTTTCCAACCAACCATCATCTAATTTTCGATTTACTGTCATCATTTTTGGAGAAGCTTTAACATTACCATTTGATTTTTGTAGAAAGCTAAGAGGTTGTGTTACACAACTAGAATTATTAGAAATTTGAATTGTACTGTTTGTTACAACATTAGATTCTGCAGTAATAACAGATAAATTWGAATCTTCATGAAATGCACTGTCCTCCTGTGTGTTAGAATTATTAGATGTGATGTTGGTGATACAGTCAGATACATTTTGAGAACAATCAAGTTCAGTAGTTTTCTTTTTTACAATACTTTTTCGAGGATTTCTCTTCTTAAAATCACAACCATCAAATAATTTCTTTGAAAACTTTACAGAAATATTATTTTCAATGGATTTAACATTAGTTGGTATTTCAGACTTGGGCTTATTATTCAAATGTTTACCCCAAACCGATGGCTTATTAGTATCAACAGGTGGATCATCAATAATTGGTGTATTGGATTCTGTCTGATCTTGAATATTGCTGATAAATAATGTTTCATCAATTTTGGAATCATTTGCATCATCTACTTCACTAATCAGAGTTTTTTCGAGTAAAGAAGTTTTAATTTGCCAGTACATTTTGTAAGCGTATCGCACTTTTTGATCAGCTAACTTTATGTCGTCCTATAAAATAAAAATTTTTTGTTAATCACAACTTTTATATTACTTAGGTAATTATCTATAACGTTTRWATAATTGAACTATTGAAAATAGTCTATTGTAATTACTAATTACCTTTTTAGGATTTCGACTGTTGGTCTTGATAAACTCATTTTCCCATTTCTTCACAATAAACTTGTACTTTAAATATGGATCGCTAATTTCCATTCTAATAGAGTTGTGATGGTCGCGACTGAATKAATCAAAATTGAAAACGAACGAATCCGTCGAGTGACAGGATCGCAACCGAATGATGTCAGATCTTACTAAAAATATTCGATCAAATCAAATATTGATCTTTAGGTCTTTTGGCGGTTTTTAATGGGTAGTATCGAATACGCAATGTTAGTGATAACGTCATTTCCGTCATTCCAAAGATATTGTAACAACTCGAAACCCAAAAACAAACATTACACCCATAAGAAATATACAGTGAATGATTTGGATATTCACATTAATTAATTAAAATATCAGTAGACTGATTTGATTCAAATTTCAAATGATTCAGATCGTTCAAATAACCGGAAATTCCCACCTCTACATTCTAATAAAAGATATTTATTTTTAAGGGATAATGTGTAAAGTGTATTTTTCAACTGTGTAAAATAAATTGTAAAATTGTAAAAAGTAATAATATTCWGTTGTCACTTGGTCAGTTTTTTTGAGTTTTGAAAGGCGCAGTATGACCAAATTTCGAATATTGATAACACTACACGTTATCATAGYACATGGTTATTGCTTATCAAGATACGAACGTCTAAAACACTTAAACACGGTTTGAGGCGTTTGAGCTTTGAGCCTTATTTGAGATTGAGAGTTTGAGAATTGGGACTATTTTTTCAACATAGTATAAAGAATTATTAAGTATTATTCCTTATACTATGTTTTTCGATTGCATTAATGCATTTAGTTCACTCTAAGCCCTAAGGTAAGACTTAAAACAATTTGATACAAAACACCTGTAGAGTTAAATTATTAAAAAGTAAAAAAATATAGTTTGTTTATTCATTTTTAAACAATAATAAAATATAATAGTAAAAAAATAGATATAAACTAACAGCTATTTTAGACTTTATTTTATTTAAGTCTGATTTAGGTATCAAATTTTTTTAATCCTTGCCTTGGAGTGAACTAAATTTAATGGAAAAAATTTGTAWTTCGTCACTTGATGATAGTTATTGAAAAGTAAAAAAATAAATATGAGTACATACAATGGTATCAAGTGATTTAAGAAACGGTCAATTTAAAATGTGCCGTGCTACAAGTGAAGATTATAAAAGTATGATTTACAAAACTGTATAAGATTTCTAATTAGGTACCTACYTAAGATAGTATATTAATATATACAATATTAATACTAAATATGATAACAATTTTTAACCCATTAATATTATGATCCAAGACTTAAATAGCTTATAGTTTATATCTACTTATTTCACTATTATATTACATTATTTAAATGTTGTTAAAAATAAAAAACAAACTATATTTTATTTTTATTATTAAAAAGTTAGTATTATTTTGTAATTTTCAATTTTTTAACTCWACAGTTAATTTTATTGAAATCACATTCAGGTGTTTTATATCAAATTGTTTTAATACTTAATGTTTAAATTTTCTTGAATAACATGGGTTCTTAATATTTTTGGGGGATAGATTTGCTGGACCTGTTACTTTGTGATGACATTCTCTTATGTTTTAAGTAGCAAGTACACATTTTAAATTATTTTTAATTGTGATCAGGTATTAATTATCTGCTCTTAGAACTTTTTAAGTCCTAGCCAAGGCTCTATCACAAAAATAAACAGAGTTATAGAATATAAAAACAATGTTCCATCTAGTCTGAACAATTTGTCAATAATAGTCTAGCACCTTCAGTTTAAAATTCACAATACTGCGCCCTAAACTGTAACCCTTTTAGTTCCTGGCGATAGTCTGAAACTAATGTCTAATTTGCAAGTCTCCATTCATGTTCATTATGATTATTAACATTCATTCTTTTTTTTGCCATTGTTACTCAAATATTTGATATTAATTCAAATAACTGTGACGCACGTTAATAAGTGTGATGCACGTCACAAGATTTTATTTTTTAATAGATAATTAATATTACATCAAAGAGAGCCGCCGCCTCCCACCCGAGCATGGCAGAAACCTATGGGTGCCTATTCGAAATTCTGCCAAAACACCTATGTTTTCCAACCAACAATTCCCTCCCCCACAGTTCCACAGGCAATGACCCTTGCTGTCAATGCCTCAACCCTAATAAAAAAAAWAATAATAATAATAATAATTTCACATTAGTGTAATATTATTCTAATACTTTATTAATGTAATATACTATATTAAATAATATTTTGAATGAATTATAATAAGTTAAGCATCATTGATGTATGGCATGGTACATTCTGTATTCATGGGAATGGCTGTGAAATGTATATCTATTCACCACGGGACCATGGCCAATTGACGTTATAACTTCTACTTCTGATACATCAATCATTTGAGGTTATTAAACTCAATGTTATGTGCCGAGATAAATAAACTCAAGTTTTCAATGATTTTTATGACATACGTAGCTTGAAAATACCATAATATATTGATATTTGACTTCCAACATGCCATGTTCATTACAATCAGTGGCACACAGTAGTTCTGGTAAACAGTCGGTTACACACTACACATAATTAAACAATTGCCCGGTAGACAACATTACACCACACTACCTAACGCAATGTTTACATATTCTAATGGTTAATAATTAATTTTTATTTGCACACACTCTAAAACTAGGAATGTATTGATTTGAAGATCTTGTTGAAATTGGGGACATATTGAATGTATTTGTATGTCAAACACRGATGATCACCGCCAGAAATGACACTTTGTGTCCCATCTKAACGTCTGGCTTTAATTTAATAACATGATATAACACCAGAATTATACGTCAATATAAAAAATATGTTTAATGTCCTAGTACGCATACACAAGGTATAAGAATGTGCAGCCTTAACAAATATGCTCTACTAAATTACTTATACTTGACACAATGTAATGATCAGTCATTATTCATTATTTTTATTATTATTATTATTACATTAAATTAAATTAATATTTTCAAATTATACTTAAATTTGATAAGAAAGCTTAAGAATCAACTCAGCACAAAAAATACATTGGTATATGGTGATGAGAGGGACACATTTGAAATATAACGATTGTCATATTATTAAATAATGATAATAATCAATGATAAATAAAAATAAAAATCTTGACTTATAATTCTAATTCTAATAATAATAAGTATTCATTTTATACAGTTACATTTAATACTATTGTTAGAAGTCTTAAAGACACATTGATAAGAGAGGGCTATACTTCATATTAAAATACGCTTTAAAAATAAAATGGAAAATCAATGAAATGGTACACATAGGAATAGGTACAAAAGAGATAAAATGGATAATAATAATACGACTATTAAAATTAAGCAATTTTAAAATTTAACATTAAGCAGGTACAAAAATGGTAAATAAGGGTAAAAAAACTAGGAGTCTTAATAAGGTGTAGCCCACTCCGGTATGTACATCATAATGACAAAATAGAAACTTTGTGCGCCAATCACATTTTCTTAGAAAACGGCCAATGCGATCGCCGTTGGGTTCCACTGCTGCTAACAGTCGATGATGATGATGAGGATGAGTTTGAGCGTAGATTATGAGTTATAGAACCGGTGGATGAACATGAGTTAAGACTGGTAGAAGAGACTTTGCCTCCATTGGAAAACATATCCATTACAGTAGGCCTGTTCTTATCGCGATTGCTCTTGTCAAAAGATTCTAAACATAGAAAATTGAATACATTTAATGAGTAATTTAAGAACAATAAAATCACATAGTTAATGAAATGTCTAGTTATGGTATRCGAAAAATTTGATTTGACTATTTAAGGGTTTTTATGCACGAAAGATAAGTTGAATACATTTTGTATTTTTTAAATCAAATTCATACATTAATAGGTATTGAAAATATCATGGAGACGGTTAAATGATAAATATCAGTCCAAATGTTAATACTACAAAAGTTTAGACATTTCATAACCTACACGTGCAACATTTATATATTAATATAAATTTGTTTTATTTGTACTATAAATTACAAAAAGTAATAAATAAAATTATATTTAATTTGTTGAGTTAGTTTACCAAAAAGTGGAGTTTCATCATAAAGTGATCCCTGTCGCTCTGGCTTGATGAACGAATGCCTATTAGATTCTAACAACTGTACTTCCATGACAATTTCAGCTGCTTTTTTCCATCTAAGAAAAAAAAAAATCCAATAAATTCAATAAACATCTCGTGGCTGTCTGAATATGCCTTACTTGTAATGTTCTTTGGTATGTTGAACTAAATATTTAAGCCAATTGCCCTTTTCCTCACCGTTTTCTACTGAAAATATAAACGATACTGTTCGCTTTTCAGATTCGTTGGATATTTCAATTTCATTATTATTTTTTAGTGCTCGAATTACTGTATTCTAAACGAAAAAACAAAATATTTATATTTAAGTATCAGTATATACAATTAATTTATTGTTGGGGGAAAGAAACTATGGTTAACTGATGATTAATTTKTGTAAGGATTATATAGTACCAGCACTACTAGCTCGTACTTCCAATAAATATCAATGATTTAAAACTTATGAACTTCAATGAAAAATATACTTTCATTCATCATAATAATTTAAAAGAAATACATTTTTAGTAAATAAKCAAAATTATTTAATTTTAACCATAGTCCAAAAAACTTTAATTCATTTTCAAATAGTTTTTTTTTAAATTGTAAAATTGGATTAATATTGTTATTAATCCTTTACACTAYGTCCTACGTGAACGCGGCAAAAAACAAAACAGCTTGTATTTCGTTAAGACAGCATGGTCAGTATATAGAATTCGTTCRCACTCGCCGCGTTCACGTAGGACATTGCGTTAGTCAAGGCTATGCATCTGTACATAAACCAGAACTTGTAACAATTATAAAAATCTAAATACTAAAAATCTGTATCACCCAAAAGTTTTTTTCCAACCTATATTAATAAAAAGCAAAATCTAAAAAAATATTTGATAGGTAACACTAAGCCATTGTAATTTCTACAAATTTTATAGATAACTATGTGGGGTGTATAGTTTTCGAATTTAATTTAAATTTGTAGGTAGTTTGATTTTTAATAATAATATGATAAGTCATAGAACATGTTTTAACTCTTAATAAAATAAACTGCTTTTGGTCTAGGTAAATGTGTAAATGGACATTGTATACAACAATATCAAAACTTACAATTAATAAAAAAAAAAATTACAATTAAATTTCATGACTTCATGAATGTCAGAATGTTTGCATTTTTCATTTCAGTGTGTATGCGCACCAAAATAGAAAATAAATTATTCGGGGGCTAAGCGTAGCTTTAATATCGATTAGTGTAAATAACATGTGGTTAAAAAAAATGTATTAATCTTTATTCATAAATGTTATCTTTATATACTATCTTTATTTATGTACTTTGTTCATTGGTCAATCACAGGTGTTTTTGACTTATTACCCAACAATATTACTTCTAATTGTATCACATTAATTTTAAGRTGTCATACCCTATCGACGCGAAATGTTTTCTGGGGTGGTTTAGATTTTGCTTCTTCTTCTGTCGACCACACAGACAGTTCAAATGCTTGGAGGCTGGCCCACGAAGATGATGATTCGTCACGTGGCAGTACACGGCCTGAATATACCGGGGACGACATACACTGGGGTTGTGCAGCCAACCGACAGCAAAAATGACCGAACAGAGGTAACTGATTGTTACGGTTTTCTGCTAGCATAAAATCATGTATAATCATCGTTAGTCATCGTATTAAAAATCAGTATTGATTTACGCAAATKTTGTCACGTTGATTTGTTTTACTTACGAGTGCTCTCGATTTTCATATCGTGCGTATGTACTCGGTCATCCACTTCTTCTAAAGTCAGTTTGGCTGATGCCATTAGTTCGAAATTAGGTCCACTGAAAATGCGTTATTTTATTCGTAAACGATTCAAAAAAAAAAAAAAAGGCGCACGTGTACAAAACGTATACGAAAATACAGTAATTATAAGTGTTCGAGACTTACATTTTACCACTGTTCAGTTCGTCTCTCAACGTGGCGGCCAACTTTTTGCCGACCGTGCGGCTTATGGAACTGTGCAACGTGTTCTTGATTTTCCTAGGCGTGCTCGCAATCGAAAAGTCGTCTCGCAGCACATGGGCGTAGACTTCTAAGTCGAGTTTGAAATCCGGCCCGACGTTTTCGCTGCAACGATAAATGAAAATAAAAATGTGAACATTTTCGCGGGACATTCCGCAGACGTGTGGCGACTCACAAGAGCAGTACGTCGTTAAACGTGACGTCGGTCATGGATCTATCGACCGGAAACATGAGGCTGGTGTCGTACAGTTGCGTACCGATTTTGGCCAAACAGAACACTGCAAATCTCCGGTAGTCGCCTTTATTTTTGAAATGATCCGTGTCCCGCCACATCAGCGGGAGTCGTAAATCCGAAAGTGACACCCGAGCCCTGCCACCGTTCCAACCGATCCTATATGGTAAAAGAAAAAAAAATAAAGAAAACCGTACGGTTTGTGTAACGACGAATACACGATAACCTCGTCTATGCATTGATAATAAATCCCGGAATAAAAATCCTAGGGGAAGAAAAATCACCYGACGACCCCAGATATCGCATTATTATTATTATTATTATTATTATTATTACTATCGAAATATTTTAATATACTATTTTTTAAACAGTTAAAAATCTACTGTCAGTATAGATTCATTATTAATTATATTATTATCCACCTATATTTTTTATATACCATATACACTGACTCGATCATTCGAAATATTTACTTAAATATATATTAGGAATTTATTTAAAATTATTTATGATATCTTATAATATATTAATTTTTTGAATGATAAGTATAATATATAATATATACCTATTTGTAATTTAATATTAAAATAATTTTCATGTGCTTATAAGTAATATTGTAGTCTGAGGATTTTTTTTCTGCGGTCGTTCATCGAGGGATTATTTTTCCCGGAGATTTGTATTCCGATTACCAATAATAATAATAATTATATATATATATATATATATGCCTATTTAATACTCACTGTGGCGGTTCTCGGCTCTTCCGGTGCAATTCGGCGATGTAAGCGGTCATCCTTTCGTTGGACGTCAACAAGCTCTTGGCGGCTTGCAACGACTGCGTTTGATGTTTGCAGGCGGCAAGGAGTCGTGTCGTCCCCTCGCGCATTTTCATCTCGAATTCCATTTTTTGTTCCAATTCGTAGTCCTGTCCAAAGCAAMAATAATATAAATCACACAAATTAAGTAGCTATATGTAGAAAAAAAATTTAAACGAACGCGTGCAATGAACCTATTAAAATATAATATTATGGAGCAACAATCAACGCGTTGCATGTCGCGATAGTGAAACGTTTTATTGTATTCTCCGATCACTTGTATGTATTGCATATATATGTAGTATTCCAGACTACGGAAAGTTTCCATAGTCATAAATCATAAGACATATCCCAAATACATCGCACGGTAGTTCGAATGTTTAAATGTGCGATAAAAAAAAAAAACAACTGCGCATAAAAATTCATGTCAAGCCAATTTTTTTAAACAACGTTTTTATGTCACCGTAAATAAACATAATCACAGTAACACTATACGAGTTTTAATAGGTTGGAAACGAATAAAAAGAAACACGAATGGAAAAAAATTCAACTTCTGAATTTCACAGGTTCGATTTACAAACCGTTTTACAACTTGCTCTTAATGGTTTGTACGTGATGTTTTTTTTTTTCTAAACATACCTACCCAGATCAGGTAAATGTAGTTTCAAGACGCTCATATTTCGTAAATTAAAAAAAAAAACAAAAAACCGATTCCGAGTATAGATAACAATAAGAAAACACAATATTAATAACCTGCATCATTGATATAACATTAAAATCAATGCATATTACATAATAAGTGTCGCATAGATCATAAATTATATAAAATGCATTGCAGACGTCGGMTGGTCTACCATATGTGCTTATATATATAACGTCAAATACGCAATGTTGGTAAGCATACAGAAATAATAGTATGGCGTGTTCGTTAAAGGTCAAAGGATATAGCTCTGCACATTGGAACGAACAATTTGTCAAGGATAAATTCAAATGGATATTTTCGTACACAATAATATAAACGAAAAGGTCAGAGTAGGAAGTTAGCTGTTATAATAGTTGATACTATATAAAGGCTATTTCAATGTACACAACTTAAAATATAATACTTATAGACGTGCATATAACCAAATAGGTCATAAGTGTATTACAAATAATCATCACTACCAACAGCCACTACAGTGGAGGGTGACGAGGGTGTACTACAAAATTAATTTACAATATTATGTATATAAATAAAAATAAATAACGATTTCACAYTCGTCATAAACAAGCATAATATAATATTGCATAGAAACATTTTTGYTGTAAAATATGTGTGTTTTATTAACAGTGTGAAATTAAATTTAGATAAATAATATGGTATATAGTTTAGGTATAATATAAATTAAGTACCTTATTATTTTATAAGGGAAATAATAGTTTATTTATT